AAAGCCAAAGTCATAGAAACAGAGTAAAATGGTGATTGCCAGGAGCTGGGGGCGTAGGGAAATGGGGAGATGTTGGTAAAGGGTACAGTGTTTCAGTTATAAGATGATTAAGTTCTGGGGACCTAATGTACACCATGGTGACTATGATTAATAATAGTGTATGACATACTTGAGCTATAACAAGAGAGCAGATCGTATGTGTTCTTGCAACTCACACGCACATACAAACACTCGAAAAACAGTAACTACTTGGGGTGATGATGTGTTCATTAACTTGGTGGTGGTAGTCCTTTCACCATGTGTACGTATATCGAATCATTACATTGTACACCTTGAATACATATAATTTTAATTTGTTAGTTATACCTCAATAAAGCTGGAAAAACATTTTAAAAATTTAAAAAATAATATCCCCTTCTCTCTCTCATCTCCTCACCCAGCTTTCTTCTTCAAGTGCTTCCTGACACTGTTACGTATTTAAATTTATCTGCTGCTTATTCTGTGGCACTCCCACTAGAATGAAAACACCACAGGGCAGGGTACACAGCCCTCAATGTCCAGTGCCTGATAGATAATAGGTGCTCAGTACGTATTTGTGGAATCTCCTTTGGCGAGTCTAAGGGTCCCTCAAGTCAGAATTTGGTGCAGTAAGAAAGAGCTGGATTGACCTATCTCTGCCAGAATTGTGGATAAATCCCACACAGGAGAGAGATGGTGAGAGGGTAGGGAAGGGATGCCTTGGAGGTGAGGAGAGAGTGTTATCAAAGGTCCTTACCACAGAGGAGGGGGACAGGCCCCCTTGTCCAGGTGGGTGTCATTCATTTAAGCCACTCTGGAGAAACAGGAAAGGTCTCACAGGAAATCTCAAGCCCTGGTGAGGAGAGAGTGTTATCAAAGGTCCTTACCACAGAGGAGGGGGACAGGCCCCCTTGTCCAGTTGGGTGTCATTCATTTAAGCCACTCTGGAGAAACAGGAAAGGTCTCACAGGAAATCTCAAGCCCTGGGTGACTCCAAGGGAGTGTCCTTTCCCAAGCCTTTCCAGTCCTGGGTGGGAAATGGACCCCATTTCTAGTGCTGACAACAGAGGTTGATTGTGCAAAGCAAATGCTGGACGCAAGGAGATTGGAGAGCTTGGGGAGAAGTTTAGGTGACAGCGTGGGAAGCCAGGTTCCGTGCCAGAGGGGTAGAGGGGGGTGCCGAGTCATCCAAGATCCAGAGTCTCGGCAGTGGGGCCAAGGAGGCCGCCCAAGAGATGCACCCTCTCCGTTCCTCAGTTTCCCCATCTGTAAAATGCAGATAAGAATAATACCTACCTCGTGGGGCTGTTGTGAGGACTGAAGGAGGTGGCGTGTGTGTAGTGTTGAGGACGGTGCCTGGCACACGGCAAGTGCGATACAAGCATTAGTTGGAATCCTTCTTCAGCGTCTGCTTCTGTTTATACTCTCCATAGGGAGCTGATCTTGAGAAGCCGGCTGGACTGTAGGGTATGGGAACCTCCAGGTGGGAAACCACAAAGAGCCAACCGGGCAGTCAGGTTCCAGGGCCAGCCCTACTGACCAGTGTGCTCTGTCACCTTATTTTAAGAGGTAGGATGGGGTAGAGGTCAAGATCGGAGACCTTGGAGTCAGCTGACCTGAATCTGAAGCCCGACTCCACTGTTTACTAGCAGTGTAGGTACTGGGTTTGCCACTTGACCTCTCTGTACCTCAGTTTCTTCTTCTGTAATATGGGGATACCAACAGTATCCACCTCATAGGTAAAGTATTTTGAACAGCACTCAATATTAGGTTTTATTATTACCATAGGCAGTAGAGAGTTTAAACACCTCTGATTAACAAGGCTGTAAATTGACCTTTACAAGCACTGAACGCTGTTGAGATAAGCTCCCCTCGTTTTGGTGGAATGTGGCGGATTCCCGTCCTGAGGCCACTGTTTAGATCATGGAGGGCATTTCCAGAGGCTGACCACTAGATGGCGCGCTCGTTCTTTCCTGCCCGCCCGAGCTGTCAGCCTCTGTGACACGATGGGCTGGAAAGCTGCCTCTGCCCTGCCAGACCTGGGTGGCGCCCTTGCCTGCGTTGTCGTTTGCTCCTCATAGCGATCCTCAGATGAAAAGATGCTCCACCGAAAATGCTAAGCCCAGTGCCCGGCACATGGGAAGGCTTCAAAACACGTTTGCTGTTCTTCCATTCTAGTTATCCCCATTTCACAGAGCAGGCCCAGAGACGACAGGCAGGCAGCCGGAGCCAGGACTCTGAGCCACACCTCAGGCTGACGCACGTGCAGCGTCTTTCCCCTCAACCTCGTTTGAGAGGAAGCCCTGGATGCCTTGGACTCACTTCAAGGTCCCCCACCATACCCTCTTTTGCTCTCTGGTTTCTTTCTGCATCTACCACTTTCTTACTCCCTGTGTGATCTTAAGCCAGTTATTTGGGCTTTTGGGGTCTCAGTTACTCTTCTGTGCCATAGGGCTTCCACCTTCCTTATTTTGGAGATGCTTCAGAAGCAGCAACTAGACCAGAGTAGACACTCCATGGATGGTGGTTACTGTCGTCGGTGCCTTATTTGTTAACATAACAGAGGAGTTCATCTGCTCATTCATTTATTTCTTCCTTTATCCTTCCTTTTCTTCCATCTTCTCTGTCTCCCTTCTTTCTATCCTTTTCTTCTCTCATTCCTCCCTCCTTCCCTCCCTCTCTCTTTCTTCCTTTTCCTATGGACCTGCTACTATAAAGTACTCATGGTTCTTGCTCTCACAGAGCTTGCAGCTCACCATTTCCTAGTCTCCATTCATTCCTGGGACCATCCCACCTCCAGTGTGTCTTCTTCCCCATAAGCCACAGGGATTTGGATGCTACCAATGACTCTTCTTGCTGGGGTTCCTGTCTTGACAGGGTACAGTCATTGTAGACCACACAACTCAGACCCCAGATCCTCCCCTACTAGGCCGCTTCAACAGCAAGCCCACAGATTCTTCAGCACGGCAGGCCATCTTCAAGTCCCAAACCACCTGACTCCATTCAGTCTGCTTCAGTAGTGGTTTTTTTTTTTTTTTTTTTTTCCTTTTTGTCTTTTTTCGTGACCGGCAACGGGATCGCAACCCACGGTGTCGCGCCCATTCCTTTTTGTCTTTTTTCGTGACCGGTAACGGGATCGCAACCCACGGTGTCGCGCCCATACCGCGACCGGCAACGGGATCGCAACCCTCGGTGTCGCGCCCATACCGCGCTCAACCAGTGAGCGGACCGGTCTCTATATGGGATCCGAACCCGTGGCGGGAGCGCCGCTGCACTCCCAAGCACCGCACTCTACCAAGTGCGCCACCGGGCTGGCCCATCAGTGGCGGTTTTCTTACTGGCCATGGGATCAAAAGATTTTGCCTAGAGCCTGGGGCGTTTGGGAAGGGAAGGAGACATGATGGGAAGATGGGGGTCTCATGGGCTCATCCTTTATCCATTAGATAAAAACAGCTCTGGTTTTATCTAATGTATATTTAGTGGCTACATGTAATATTCTGCTAAAGAAAACCATCAAAGACAGCTACCACCATGGGTGGGAGGGAGATGAGTTTTGAGATAATTTAGATAAAATCTTCAGGAAAAAGAATGTGTTTGAGAATGTGTTTTAAAATTAGTTTCCATGGAAAATGAAATTCAGCCTTTTAATTACAGTAATTTGGGTGTTATCTGAAACCTGACTTGCCATCACCATCGACTTGACTAATTGGGACTGATCCCGTGCTTCTGACCTCAGCGAGGCCTTTGCCCCGTCCTGCCAATCTGCACTCAGGACTTTGTCTTTCTGTGTTGCAGTGCCCTGGTTCCCAAGAACCATTCAAGATCTCGACAGATTTGCCAATCAGATTCTGAGCTACGGAGCAGAACTGGATGCAGACCACCCCGTGAGTGCACAGCCCCGGGAGAGTCTTTCACTTCCTTCCCTCCTTCCCCTTCCTCCAAGTGGAGTGATGCATTTGTTTACTTGTTCCACAAACATTATATTGAGTTTCTACTTATGCCAGGGCTGGGGAAGCAAAGATTAACAAGACATCATCGTCGTCATTATCACAGTTATATTTTTGTTGGAGCAAACACAAATCGCTGTTCAGAAACTTTTGTCTCTATATAGCATGTGTATTCTTCAGGAATGTTTTCTCTGCACATCTCCGTGGGTCTTGACAGCTGACAAGGAACTTGCTCTTCACAAAAGCACTTTTCCCAAAGTAAAGCAGGTGTTGTTCTTATACACACGCGCGCGCGCACGTAAGTTGTCTTTATTTCTGCTTTTGTATATTTACAGGGGTTTAAATCAAGTGCTTGGGAAACAGTAAACGGTATTAACAACTCTACCAGCTGCAGGGGCGGTGGGGAGTGATGACACTGGAACTGGATCTTCAAAGCTGAGTAGAAGGTGCTAGTCAGATGAGGGAGGCGTTAAGGCTGAGAGAACAGTCTGTGCAAAGCCTCAGAGTCTGAGAGTGTCTGGAATCTTCGGGAATGGCTGGTTGGTGCGTTAGGTATGAGTGTGAGAGATGAGGCTGGGGCGGTGGGGGGTGGGCAGGGGTCAGATTTTCTGACCTAGCAGGAAAAGGAATGTGGACCGTGCCTTGCTTGTGTCCTGTGGGCGGGAGAGCAGGTCCTTCAATGGTTTCTGAGTAGAGGACCGGGGTGGGGACATCTCATCGTGTCCTCTTCTCTGGGGCTAGGGTTAGGGTTAGGGTTAGGGGGCAGCCCAGGCTCTGGCTCATGGCCGGTTCTGACAGCCTCTTTGGGTGAGAAGGGCCACGGTCAGGTTGCCTGTCCTTTACTTTCTGCTGGGCAGGTGACTCCTTCGTCTGTGAGTGACCTAGAAGCTGTTTGCATTAGGAAGGGTTTAGAGTAGCTCAGCGGGGGCGCCCGCACTTCTTCAGGAGCCTGTTTTCTACGCACTTCTCTGTGGGTCTCAACAGCTGACAAGGAGCTTGCTCCTCACAAAGGCGCGTTTCAGAACGTGAAGCAGGTGTCCTCATCTTACAGACAGAGGCTTCAAGGCCCAGTGGGGGTACACGACTTTTCTAGGGTCCCCTGCTAAATGCTGGTCCTGAGACTATTGCTCCCAGGGCTCGCAGTGCCTGAAGACAAAGCCTAGCGAGTGGCAGAAATCGGGACCCTTCGCAGAAACAAAGGGGAAGCCCGTCCAAGGGCAGGCTGGCCTTCTAAAATATAACCAGCCAATGCTTGTTCTGATTCAAATAGTAGAACCGCTTGTGGTGAACTTCAGACACAGAAAGCAGGAGGGAGAGCAGGAAGATCGCCCGTAATGCCAGTCATTTCTAGTTTTTCTGTACGATTCTGAATTTTTTAATAATGAGAAAATATTTTATGAACAGAAACAAAGGTAAATTTCCTCTTGTCCCCAGACTTCAAAACAAACAAACAAAAAAATCACCTAGTATTTACTCTCTGAAAATAATCAATATTAATATCTGGGTGTTCTTCCTTCCTTGTCTCTCTCTGTCTCTCTCTAATACAGGACCATATTTAATACATATTCATGTGAGTGTACTTCAAAAAGTTCATGGAAGGATTTATATTATTTTCCGGTTCTACTTTTCCATGAGCTCTTTGAGGTATCCTCGCGTTTAATGCTAACTGGCGCCCATGGCGAGCACGCAGGAGGTTTCAAGTCCTTCACCATTAAAATAATCTCAAAGTGAACCTTCTTGCCCGTGCATCTTCATGTGGCCTTCCCGTGGTTTCCTTGAATCTTAGCTATAAAATTGAACCAAGCAACCCTTAAACTAAGGATAGAAATTAGATTTCAGGCTCCTAATATATATTACTTCAATTCTCTCTCTCCCCCAAAACTAAAGGTGACGTTGGAGAATGCTGGCCTCCATCCCATCTTCCTGTGCATGTGGCAACTCCTCTGGAGCGGGTCCTAGAGGAGCTCTGTGAATCCCCTGGGACAGGCTTCTGTCTGGGGCCTCACAGCTGTCAGTCCCGTCAGCAAAGCCTCTCCAAAGATATCGTTTCTCAGAAAAGCTGTCTGTTGGCCCTTGAGCCCATCTATGGGGTCTGTCCGGCAGGGGTTTCTCTCCTCCTACCAGCTCCATCTTCCTGCCCCAACCACACATTTCTCCTGCTGGCCTCACTCCCTGCTCATTTTGGGGGCAGTGGGGGAAGAAACCAGCCCAGAGAGTAGGACATGTCCCTCCCTCTATCCTCATGTCCCCTCCGAGGCAGATGGGGCTGGCCTTAAAACTCTCTGGAACTCATTTCTCTTGAAAAGCCCAGCGCACATCTTCGACTCCCTGGCCTCTCTCAGTATCATAAATTTGATCATAAAAACACAACTTATCAGGTACACAGTCCCCCGAAAAGGAGGCGCCAGGCTCTCTCTGTTCCTTTAGTTTCCCATCAGATCCTGGGAACATGGGCCAAGGACAAAGCAAACCCTCCAGGGTGCTTCCCCGCAGCACTCAAGGCCCCACATGCCTGGCCTAGATGTGCGAGCTGCAGACAGACACCAGCCTGAGGAGGAGTGCCGTGGCAGGGTGTTCTTCTCCAAAGGACCCTCTGTTCTGCTCTGTCCCTTGCGTTCGGTATGATCTCTTCTTCCCGTGACCCCCTGTCCTTGGCAGTATGCAATGATGCGTGACCCAATATCACACATCAGGCCCTCCCAAACAGCCACTTTGAGAAATGAGGTAAAGGAAGGATTGTTCCTGAAAGAGAGGGTAAAGGGCATCTGCCTTTCAGCTTTAGCTAAGTGGGAAAATGAAATAAGATAGTGATACTTGCTGTGTTCACCCTGCCTCGTTTCCTTTGTGGCCAATCTCCGTCCTTCCACAAGCACTTGTTAAGCTAACAATGCTAGCAACTAACATTTCTTGAGTGTAGCTATGTGCTAGGCACTGTGTTAAATGCTTGGTGTGCATTTTTTTAAACGTTTCCTTTGTGGCCAATCTCCGTCCTTCCACAAGCACTTGTTAAGCTAACAATGCTAGCAGCTAACATTTCTTGAGTGTAGCTATGTGCTAGGCACTGTGTTAAATGCTTGGCGTGCATTTTTTTTTTAAATTTAAATGTGATCATCATCTCATGAGGGTTGCACATCACATTTTCTGATGAGAAATCTCAGATGGAGAGGGCTGTGTGGCCTCAAGTGTATGTGGACTATGTTCCAGGCCATGTAAAGGAAAGGGAGTTGGAGTGGTAAATAAGACATGATTCCTGCTCTTCAAGGACCCCACTTGTGGATTCGAGAGAGAAGGGGTGTTGACACTTCTCAAAGCCATGTTGGAGGAAACTAGGATAGCAACTGTAAACTTGGCAGGCAGAATCCAGGTGGTTCTGTCTGATTTCCATTTCCAAAATGGACTCCCCTTTCCTTGACTATTTTTCAGCCTTTGTGCTTATAGTTCCCTTTGCCTGGGGTTATATGATTACTCTGTTTGTATTTTAAGGCCCTGCTCATATATCTTGACTTCCCCAAAGCCTTCCTCCTATCTCTTCTCCAGGCTTAAGTTTTTCACACTTAGAAAGAACTGTGTGCATGTCTCAGTGATGGCAATAATCACATTGTGTTTTATACTTGGGTCACAGAGTATCAGAACACAATAAATACATTCACTTTCTCAAAACTTGTAACCTCACACAAGGCTCAAGGTATATACACAAATGAAAGGACCTTATGCATATTTCCTGATCTGTAGTCTATTAAAAAAAAATCCTGTGATCAAAGAGAGAAATGCTGTATTCTATAACCCTATTTTAAGCATGTGTAAGTTCATTATCTCATTGGAGGCTTTGGAAATTCCTGCAAAATTGAAACCCATTCAACCTAATATTTCCTCCAACTTATTTACCCATGGAACCTCTTTACTGGAATACTTTGCAGCATTGTCTTGAATGGTAGTGTTCCATGGAAGACAGTTTGGGTAACAATTAATTGAGTCATAACTCAGAAGAGTACATAATTAAACTCCAGGTTTAATGAGTCAGATAGTGTGTGCTATCAGCTCAAAGGTCTCTGTGAACTGGAATGGGTAAGGAGGACTTCTAGAAAGAGGGAGATCTGAGACAAGCCTGCTAGGAACGAGGGTGGGCTAATTGCTTATCACACAAACCCTAAACCTCCATGGCCTAACCCAATAAAAGTTTACTCCCAGTGTGGGTCAGTAGGGAGTCTGCTCCACGCAGTCTTTCAGAGATCAAGGCTGCTTTTGCTAACAGCTGTACCCTCCTCAGCTCCGTGGAGCACTCCCTATTCTGCCAGCTTGTGGGAAGAGAGCGTGAGAATTGCTCCTGGGAGGTTTCATGGGCCAGGTCTGAAGATGACTCTTATCCCTTCACTCAAATTCCATTGCGTAGAGCTCAGTCACATGGCCACCATTAACTGCAAAGGGACTGGGGAAAGTAGTTTAGCAGTGTACTCTGAAAGAAGGAGGGAGGACAGATCTTGACCAGCACCAGCAGCCTCTGCCATACACACCCTAACCCCAAAGCTCTTTATTCCTGTTTGCTTGGCACCTATGCTTGAGTCTAGGCTGATGATGTGCACCAGAGAGGGCTTTCTGATGGAGAAAATATGAGCCACCAAAACTGTCCTTCTGTGTTTATTTCTACTTCCTGATCCAAGTCTCTCAAACTGCTTTTCAGTATTTAAACGTTTGGGTATTGAGGTTCCCTACTCTCCAGCAAATTCTCCAAGAACACGGCTACATTTTCCAATACTTCTCTCCTTTTCTCTTCCTTTTGTCCACCCATCCCTCCACCTGAGGTCCCTGTTGGAGCATATTCTGAGGATCAGCCAGCCAGTTGAGTCACTAAAGACTTGTTGTACTCTTACTAAGTTGCTCTATCAAAGCATAACTATCAAAAACTTAAAAATATAACTGTCCTACAAATATATAGTGAA